CGAGAGCCAAGTACCAGCCACTGCTGGTGAAGACTGGCCCCTTTATTGAAGGGGGTTGTTCAGAGTCCAGCCACCAGCCCCGGGAGGGAGAGAAGTCAGGGCGCCCATCAGGGATGGTCAGGGCTCCGCAGCTCCATCGCCAGCATCCTTTGGAAAGCCACCTCGGGCGGAGACAGCTGGCTGGGGAGGCGCTCCGGCTTTGGCTGAGACGTTCTGGTTGGAACAGAAAGGAAAAGTGAGGCTGGGAGGAAAGGCCTTGGATTAGGCCCCGCAAGGATATGGCCACTTGGCATTCGGCTAGCACTTAACTTTTTCAAAGCCTCTCGCCCAGATGAAAGGAGGCTGGGGGTAAGGCGGTGGGGACACTCTTCCACCCTCCAGGGGAAGCTAGGGCTTAGCAAGTCCAGCCACGGGGCAGTCCCCACCTCCCAGGCCCAGCCCGGGGTGGGCACTGACCCCGCCACCAGCCGGCTCCGGGCGCCGGCGGCCCAGCTGCCGCAGCATCTCCTCGCAGGCGGCGATGGTGTCCAGGAGCTGCCGCTGCCGCTGCTCCACCGCGTCCAGCAGCTGCTGGGCGCGCTCATCCCGGGGCGGCTGCGGGGGTGGCCTCCCGCCGAGCCCCAGCCCCGCCTTCCCACGGTCCACGCCGGCAGCCTCCCTGCCCGGGAGAGAGCGACAGACACACGGTCAGGGCCGGCGCTCGCGCGGGGTCCGAGCCCCTTCCCCCCGCCCCGACGGGCCCCCTCTCACCCCCGTGACCAGTCTGAGCCCGGGCCCCATTCCATCTCCACCTGCGCGGCCCGACCACCGCCCCCCTTTCGGCCACCCCCCTCCCCAGCGCTGCGCTAGGGCTCCGCAAGGCTGCGCCCCGCCCGGTCCCCACCGGTCTCCTTCAATCCTCCTGGGGGTCGCGGTCCCTTTAAGGTGCCCGGCGTGGAGGTGGGGCCGAGCTTCCCCGTCCGGAAGCTGACTGGGCGCGTCACTTCCTCCCGGAAGTGGGCCCGGGCGGATGTCTCCGGCGCGTCCGTGCAGGGGGCTGAGGGCCGCGGTGGCTGCCAGCGTGGGGTTGAGCGAGGGGCCGGGGGGCTCCGCCCGGAGGGGCCGCCTCCTGCGCCCACCGAGCCCCGCTCCGGCAGCGCCGGGGGCCCGGCTGTTGCGGCTCCCGGGGAGCGGGGCCGTGCGGGCCGCAAGCCCGGAGCGCGCCGGCTGGACCGAGGCGCTGCGGGCCGCCGTGGCCGAGCTGCGCGCCGGCGCCGTGGTGGCCGTCCCCACCGACACGCTGTACGGCCTGGCCTGCTCGGCGAGCTGCTCGGCGGCACTGGGAGCTGTGTATCGCCTCAAGGGCCGCAATGAGGCCAAGCCGCTGGCCGTCTGCCTGGGCCGCGTGGCCGACGTCTACAGGTGAGGCCGCCCCGACCCGGCCCCGCTGAGGGCGGCACCGCGGGAGGGGCTTCCGGTGACAGGCTTGGGAGACTGAGGCGCAGAGAGCGGGAGGGGCTTGTCCAGGCTCACCCAGGAATCCGGAACTGGAAATGTGTATAGAGCACTTAACGTCTTCCAGTGTCTGAACGAGATGCTGGGGCGCCGCGATGAACGAGGCAGTCAGGGTCCTTACTCTCCTGGCGCTTTTGTGATAATGGCGGGGGGCGGGGGGGGGGGGGGAGGGGAGGCACGCCCCTGGTTTAAAAAAAAAAAAAAAGGAAACAAACACGATAGCTTAATTTAGTAGGGGCGGGGGATGCCTTGAAGAAAATGAAACATGGAGCGTGATAACGGTTCAGCTGTTGTAGCCTCAGAGACCAGAGGCATGTGGGCCCCAAACCGGGAGTGCTCCTCTGGAGCCCAGCGTCTCAAACTCTCAGGGAGGTGAAGAGGGAATACAGACGGATCTCATCGTAGTCCCAAGAGTCCCCTTTTCTAGATCTGTCCATAGTCTGGAATAGGACCAGCAGCGAGCCTTCATTCTTGGATGGATCTGTGTCCCCTCTGTTTTCCAGGTATTGCCATGTGAGAGTACCCGAGGGGCTCCTGAAAGACTTATTACCAGGACCAGTGACCCTGGTGTTGGAACGCTCTGAGGAGCTTAATAAGGATCTGAACCCCTTTACTCCTGTGAGTCAGATTTGCTTTTCTTGTGTCCCCAGACTCCTGCCATCTGGCTTTCACTAGGATCCAGGCCAGACCCACTCCCCGCCCGTCTCACCCTTTTTGATGATCCTCTCCCCTTGCTTTATAGCTCGTAGGCATCCGGATTCCTGACCATGCCTTCATACAGGATTTGGCTCAGGTGTTTGGGGGGCCACTTGCTCTCACCAGTGCCAACCTCAGCTCCCAGGCCAGTTCTCTGAACGTGGAGGTAAGAGTTACCCAGTCCTCCCCGCAGAAACATCACCAGCCCAAACACAGATTCCTCTGAATCTGTGGGGTTGATGGTTCACTGGAATGACCTGCAAGAGACACCCATTTGTTCTAATGGTGGGAAGTCGGCCTGGTTGGCAGGGGTGGGGTGGGGGTGGGGAGATCAAATTAAAGGATCTTGAAAAGGTTTCATTAGAAAGTCTGAGAGGTGAGGGGGAGAATTGGTGTTTTCTTCCTATTGTGTTTTTAGTAATAAGAAATATTACGGTAAGTGATTTTTTTTTCTCCCCCATTTTTTTGATGGTAGCAGTTTGAAAATGTCGTTAGGCAATAAGCCTTTACATTAGTGCTGTAAAGAAAGTTAAGGCTCTGAAAGGTTGTGTCACTTGTCCCAGGGACTCCTGACCCTGTTCTTTTACCTCGGCCGATAGCCATGTCAAAGAAAGGATTATCCTAATCCTGCCTTGACTGCATGGCTTTAGAACAAATGAGAACACACAGAAATGCCACCACACGTTTTTTTTCCTACAGAACTTAAATGTAAAACATAGCAAAGTACTGGGGTTTCCCAAGCCCAGACCTAAAGAGAGTGCGGTCAGGGGCCTTAGAGAGTGAGGGTGAGAGCTCAGCATCCTTTCTTATTCTGGGACTGCAGGCTTTACCTGGTCCCCGTGGCTGTGCCTGAGGCAGTGGGGGTGGGGGTATTCTTGGCTTGTCCGCAAACATTTGACCCAACCAACACAGTAGCTGGTAGTTAAGACCCTCCGTCCCAAATGCCCAGGCCTAGCCACCACTGCAGCATTTTCGTGAGTGGTAGTGCTGGGGAGAATGGGTGATGCTCTAACCCAGTTAACAGTTCAATCCACAGATTTTGGAGGGGCATCCTTCCCGTAGCCCCTTAAGGGTTGAGTGCTGGTGGCATGCACGTGAGAATCCACCTGTCTTCCTCTCCGTACCCTTACCCTACTGATCCTGAGATCCAGAATCAGAGTGTCCTGGATAAAGTCACTTGAATGTGGTGACATAGAAATTTGGGCGGACGCTCAGGGTAGACCCCCATGTCTTTGGACACCCATCTAGGTAGGACTCCAGTCATTGTATTTATACATCCCCAGCAGAAGCTCTGTGTGGCTTCTCCTCTTGGCACAGAAAGAGTTTCTCCGAGTTTTAGGTGTTACTTGAGGCACCGACCTAGGAGGGCTTCACACCTCACAGGATGCTGTATCCCAGGCGCTAAGGCAGTGTCCTTGGCACAGGTGACCTTCACTGCATGAGGTTCTTTTCCCTGCTTAGAGGAAGATGCCTCCTGTTTTAGAAGTGTGCGGTCTTTGCTTTCTTATGAACTCTGGGTGCAGTGTGACGTCATGGCAGACGCCAGAGGTAGCGTCCATGGTCTTCCTCTCCTTCTTCTCAGGAGTTCCAGGACCTCTGGCCTCACCTGTCCCTGATCATTGATGGGGGACCAATCGGGGATGGCCAGAGCTCTGAGTATCGCCTGGGCTCAACTGTGGTTGACTTATCTGTACCTGGAAAGTTTGGCATCATCCGCCCAGGCTGGTGAGTCTTTGCTGTGGAATGGGGATAGAATTGGAAGGGGGTTGGAAGGTGCAAAAAAAAAAAAAAAAAAAAAAAAAGTCCTCGGCAGAATAAAGGTTGTCATTCCTATCTTGTCCCGAGGGGAATGAGCAGGTTTGAAGAACTGGCGGATGGAGGTGGGGACTAAGTTTGCCGGTGTTTGCTGGCTTTTTCAGATTTCAAAGGATTCGTCAATGATCTATTGAAGAGCTGATCACCATACTCTGGTGGGCTCAGGGTTTTGAGGAGTCAGACTTTAACTGCCCTCCATTTCCTCTTCAGTGCCCTGGAGAGAACTACAGCCATCCTCCAGCAGAAGTACGGGCTGCTCCCCTCACACGGATCCTGCTCGTGAATCTCGGGAAGAGGGAGGGCCCGAGGACTGGTGCTGGACACTGTGTGTCTGTTCGCTGGTGACTGACAAGGCCTCATTCACAGAGGCCACAGGGGCCACAGCATCACTAGTCTGACGCTTTCAGGCAGTGTGTCCCTCTAAACCCTGTAGACCAGGCCCCAGAAGCTGCTGATTTTGTCTCACACTGGTGGGGGAGGTCATATTTATGAACTGTACTTTCATATCAGCCAAAAGCTGACTAGACACTTTATTTGAGCACATTCCTAGGATGGCCTTGTCCTAATAAGTTTCTTCTTAAAAGATATGTTTGAAACATTGAAAGAACAGACTTGGAATCTAGTCAGAGCCTCCCCTCTGGTGGATGGTGGCTTTTAAGGTCCAGATCAGCCAGTGCACCAGCTGGTGCTGTCGGAACTTCTCAAGTGACCAAAGGCATGTGTTTCTGCACCTGAAGCTGGAACCAGATTAGGATAAAGGTTGTTGAGCCACGGGCCACACACTGTTTCCTCTGAACCAGTGAGGCCGGTGGTATGGTGTGCTGTGATGCCAGGAAGAGCCATCGTTTTGGGCAAGTTGTGGGAAGTGAGCTCAGTTGGCAAGGGGTGCGGGCGGGGAGGTCCAAATTAGAGAATACTAGAAAGCAAATCTCTACTATTTCTGTCAGCCAGTGGCTTTTTTCGTATTTATTCATAAAATAAATTATAACAAATTATACCTATAACACTTTTATTTGAATCCAGTGTCTACTCAGCAGCCTGCATCTTTATTCATGTGAATACCAAGTGTTAAACAGTTATTCTTGGGTATTTGAACCTTGTTTTTCATTAATAGAAAATGTTTTGTAAATAGTTTATTCTTCTTCTTTTGAATTATTTCCGTAGGGGAGGATTACTGGGTCAGAGCGTATGAACATTTTTCTGGTTCTTGATACAGATTCACCTTCAAAAGAACTGATCAAGCTGCCTTGCCATCAGCAACGAATGAGACTTGCTGCTTCAGGCCCCTGGCCTTGCTGTACTTTTAGAACTTTCCAAATTGTGTATGTGGGAATGAAGCCTCCTAGTTTCTCCCTTCTGTAACTTACTACAGGTCACCATCCAACCCTTTTCACCTGTCCTGATCTGCTCCATCCATCGGTGCCATTCAGTAACCATGACCTAACTGGAGCCGGGGGTCCTGTGGTAATCCATAGGCCCGCTTCTTCCCCTCCTGCACTTTGCACCCCATTCCCAGTACTGGGATTCAGTCTTGAGCCCATAAAGTAACGCACATATTTCCAAGTAGCTCCTAAGTCTTGCCAAGGAGGTGTCCCAGGGTCTACTTTGAGGGCTCCTACAATTATAGCACATTAGTTTATTCGTAAATAAGCACTAGTTGGTTACATATCCCCTCTAAAAATCGTGTTTAAACTTCTCATTTCTTAAGCAAACTCACTCTTCGTTGTGCCAATGCTGGCCAGCCGATCCCACATGTCAGGTTGTCACGGAATTTGAGGGCGGGCTCAGAATTCAGGAAGTCTTGAAGAGAGCAAAAAGAATGCTTACTTGAGAATACCACGTATTTAATTGATACAAATCACAGTAGCACTGAAAATGGCTGACTGAGTGGGCCTCATTCAGTTTAGGCAGCTAAAGGGAGGGGGGGGGGGGGGGGGGGAGCCCTAGTCCTCTCCCTGGAGCTAAATGGTCATCTGGGGAAATGGAGGCTCTGGAGCACAGAGGTATTTTCTTAGAGGAAAAAGAACAACTCCCAGCGCTGGGTAAAACTGCAAAAAGAAACTGCTCAGGCACTAGCTACAAGGCCACACCAAAGAAAGAAAGCTGGATCCTATAAGCTTCTGGAAGAAAAAGGACCTTGCCAGGTCAAGTTCCTCCCTAGCGCCTAGCACATAGTAAGGTGCTCGATTAGTGTGTGTTGAATGAATGAATGAATGCTCAGGGGTGTTTCCTGATCATTGGGTTCAGGAGTCTACCGGGAAGGGCTTCAATCTAGAATTTCCCTTTTGGGAAGCTTCAAATCCGGTTCCCTGACTTAGAGAAGACAGGTGCCGTGGGAGGAAGGCTGAAGAGGAAGCAGGGCATGTGCTAGCCCCGAGCCCTGGCCCCTCCGAAGAGCAGTCACCTGGTGGCTCCGCTGCACCCCAACCTGCTGAGTTCCAAACGAGGAGGGACTATTTTAAAGTGTCGGGACAGGATATGGAGCTGCCCTGGGCTAAATCCAGTCACCCGCCGGCCTCTGTGGTTCCCTCTGGGACCCTGCCTCGTTTCCTGTCACCGCAGAGCACCCCGGCACCACCTGCCCAAGGAACAAGCTCTGTTCCACGTGGGCCTAGGCTTGACAGCCCACCCAGAGGCGGCCCGCCGCTGACTTGGAGACCGGCGAGTGCCCATGACCTCAGCTGAGCCCCACGCAGCGACACCTTCCGGTGAGGCCAGGACGTTGGCACCTCGTGGCCGTCGGCAGGCTCCTCACATCAGCCACTGCTCCTTCTCTTTGATGAAGTGCTCTGCCCAGCGGCGAGTCAGCTCCAGGTACAGGTTGGGCTGGTGAGGCAGGTAGTCCAAATACAGACGTGTTGGCGTCTTCTTGGGAATGGCCTTCTCGATCTGGGTGCCCTCATGCCACTCATTGAAGGAGGTGATGGAGACAATCTCGGGCCTCACCGTCAGGGCTGCCTGCAGGGCTGTCTCATAGTACTTGCCATTGACCCTGTTCCGAGTATTGTGGTTATTCCAGGGCCGGATGCTGGTGTCAATGTAGCCAGGCCCCACGCTGGGGATGAACATGAGGTTGTTGGCATCACAAAAGTTCTTCACGGCTTTCCAGTTCTGATGGGAGGAGCCGAAGGAGAAACCATTGGAGGCAAAGTAGGTATACATGCCATCAAATCCAGCAGCCAGGATGTCGTGGGTGTGGCCCTCCTCCACCAGCAGGGCTATGAAGACCCCATCATAGGGGGTGTTGCGGATGGAGTGGGGCCCATTGGGTGTCAGGAGGTGAGCCCAGGCCTCAGGGGACGTCAGGTATGAGTCGTAGATATAAAAGAGTGGGAGGCTCTTGCCCATGCTGTTCTTATAGCGGTAAAATGCAGCATGGGAGCCATACCTGAGGAGCAAGAGGGAGAAGAACTTGACTTGGCCGCCTAAGAGGGGCAGCCAGTACAGCTGTAGGACAAGCCATGGGTTAGATCTTTCCTGATGCCCAAGTGCAATTTTGGATCCAGCCAGGCCCCACAGTTGGCGTCATCGTGCCTCTAAGCAAGAACCCAGTCTTCCACCCCCCACCCGTCCCCAGCCTCAGAGATCCTGTATTCAAGCCTCACTTCCTTGCCCTCCACCATGCCACCCCCTGTCTTTCATCTATACTGCAGCAACAGCCCCCTAACCGGTCTCCAGACTCCCACTGCTGGCTCCCTACAATCCACTCTCTTTAATCACATTTGATTGCTCTTAGTACTGAGACCTGCAAGGCCCCCTCCTACTTGATCTGGCCCTACCCACCTCCGTCCCTGCTGTAACCCCATCTCTACACACCAGCTACACTGGCCTTTTATTCTGCCATCAGGCTTGTCCCATCATGGGCCTTTGGATCTGAGAGCCCTCTGCCTGGAATCTTCTGCCTGCTCCAGATCTCTGAAGAGCTGACTCTTCCTTCAGGTGTTAGTTAGCTCACATGTCATTTCCTCAGAGAGGTTCCCTTGACCACTCTTTCTAAAGTATAGCACCCATCCTCAGGCATGCTCTCTAACACAATATGCTGCTTTATTCTTTCTCAATTGCTTTTTCAGAGTATGGGTCACAATTTGATCTTTCATGTGTAACCGCTGTGCGCTTCACTGCCTCAGCACACTGGAATGTAAATTTTGCTAGTCCTGCCCATTACCATACAACCGGGGCTTAGGACAGTGCCTGGACACCTGAAGGCACTCAACTGTTTTCTGAATAAGTGGGTGATACATGCAAACGCCGTACAAGCCACTTTCACATATATTAACTCACATAACTCTCACAAGACTCAAAGGTTCAGAGGCTTGCATCGGATCACAGATTAGAGGCTGCTGCATCAAAACTCAAACCCAAGTTGCTGACCCCAAGGCCCGGTACTGTCTACTGTGAAGTAGCTGCTGAGGACACAAGCATTCTGCCCTTGCGTGCCTTGACCTACCTTTCTAAACCTTCAGTCCCACCCCCATTTTGATCCCCACCAGAATCCAGGCCCCACAGCAGCCTTACGTGTCAATGATGTACTTGATGTTGTCATGCAGAGTGACGTCATCCCGGCCCTTATAGGGTTGGATGTGGAAGGCCACCTGCCACAGACAGAGGAGATACCGGTCAGGTGAGTATCTGCCCAGGGGCCATAACCTATAAGGCTCATGCTCCCCTAAGGCTTGAAGGAGAGGGCCCGACAACTGTAGGCATAATAGAGATAAAAGCAGCCACTGCCCTCAGGGCCAAGAAAACGGGCAAGAAGCTTGCCCAACTCCCACAGCAGGACATCTGGGAACCATTTGGATGGGCTGTGACTGAATGGCTAATAGGTTTAAAGCTCACATGCCAGTTCCACGTGATTGGCATTAGCTGCTTGAAACCCTGGGAAGAAGGATGCTGAATGAAGCTGCATTGATGGACAGAGATGCTATGATCTGTTAAACATGTCAGTGATGGGCTCAGGAACAGGAGTGGGGCTCCTCTCTGCTGTTTATCTTCCTTCGCCACCAGAGAGGGGAATGACTTATTTGGTTCATTTGGAGAAATTAACTGGACATGCTTCACTCAGCTCATTCATTCCTCTTGAAAGCGCGCCTGCCTGCCAAGAACATGGGTTGTACTCTACGCCTTGAGGCCCAGCATTGCCTCCCACTAGGGGTCTGAGGCTGGAGTTGGGTTTCGGGGCGCATTTGGGTCCTTGCCTGCCCTCTATCCAGAGTCAGGCTCTCCAACCTAACTTCTATCTGATATTTATTGAATCCCCCATTTCTCCTATATTTAGTTTTCCCCATTTTCCCCCATAATTCAAGAAAATAAGAGTGACAGGGGCTATTTCGTAGAGCCCCACCCCCAACACCACACTTGCTGTGTATTTGCCATACTTAGGCTAATGCCAAGAACTAACCCTGCGGGCAGAGAAGGGAAAATCTGAATGGGCCAAAGAGCACCTGACCTCTTCTTGGAGACTCACCTGGATGTTGTACTGATGGGCGGTGTCGAGAATGGCGGGCACCAGGTCATCTGAGGGTTCCCCGTTATCATCAGCCATGCCAGGTGGGTACCAGGACAGGACCAGGACGCCTGAGACACAACACAGAAGCTACTTCAGAGACACAGAGTACCCATGCGACGCAGATGTGTTTCCTCACAAGCTATCTCCAACTGCAAAATGGTTTCTGCCTGAAACCTTGAGCGGGGGGGGGGGCTCTGACAGGCCAGGTTTACTTCCTGCAGATCAGATCCCGGAGCCTAGCGTCCTGGAGCTGTCCACGCCCGCGGTGCTGAAGCGAGGCGGCAGCGGGAACCTTTGCGCGCCAGGCCGAGAAGGAGCCTGACAAAAGCCTGAGTAGGACTCGGCTTTCGCTTGCATTCCCAAGGAGTAGAACAAAGGGAAATGGGTGCATAACACCACACCCATCTGGAAGCCACAGTCCTGTCTCTGGAGGAAAGGGGCACATCTAAGGTCCCGCGGGGAGAAGAGTCCCAAGCCGAGGTCATCTTATCCTTCCCACAGGAAATAACGTTTGCCTCGACCATCTGCCTCTCTAGACTGTAAGATCCTGAGGGATGGCCTCTGTGTTATTTATCTGTGAATGCCTCCCATCATTGTCTCTGGCATTCAATTTCTCCCCATTCACTAGCCATCTCTAGATAAATTGAAATGTGTTGTAAAATCCAGCAGAATTCAGTGACAAAATCTGAAAGAAATGAGCCTCCCCACCAGAACCTGCCTACAAAAGAGGCCCCCAGGAACCTCTTTTCAAGCAGAGTACTTGATGAAAAGCTGCTGCCCGGCCCCCCCCCCCCCCCGCAAACAGAGCAGGGTCCATCATACAACATGGGCAAACTTTCTGCAGCCAGCAAAAACAGGAAGGGCTGCTGCCCTACCCCTGTATCTGGTGTGAAAGCTGAGGCCATCCCAGGCGTGACTCCACGGAACCCCACTCCTGCAGGGCCAGGATACCCAGGCCTCACTTACCCAAGACTAGAAGCCCAAGAGACAGGAAGACTCTTGCTCCCTCTCCTTGCTGTCCCTCCTTGGGACAGCTCGGAGCAAATGCCTTCTTCCACTGGCCCTCCCAGCAGCTCTGCCCTACAAAAGGGCCCTATTGTAAGGGGTCAGAAGGCAGAGTAGGGGGAGACCTAACACTAGAAGGTAGGGGCGGCGCCGCGTGGTAAGCGCTGAATGAAAGTAGAAGGGAGGGAGGGAGCAAGAAGCCAGGCAGAAGGGTGAGTGGGACCAGAGGCTCGGTGACAGGACCAGTGGGAGTTGTGGCGTGGAAACGAGGAAGGGCGAGGCTGGGGGACAGGGCCGCCCGAGGGTGGGGGGCACTCACCGATAGCGGCTTCCTTAAGCTGGGTCATGTGCTCCCGCAGCACGTCGGGGTCCCGAGAACTGTAGGGCCCCAGCTCCGGGTAGAAACTGGAGCCCAAGTCGTCGGGAGGACTATGGCGGCCGCGGGGGTAGCTGGCCGAGATCTTGGGGTCCCAGTGCGGCACCATGACGTGGTCCCAGTGAATGTAGTGGCCTTCGCGCCGCGGGCTCCCGTACCAGGAGTAGTAGAAGGCGTGCAGGTCCGAGTAGACGCGCAGACTCTGCCCAGGGGCGGGCTCGGCCTCCGCGGGGGCCGGGCCCGGGGGGCTGCCCGGGCCGGCAGTGCGGGGCGGCGGAGGCGGAGGAGGC